AGATGGGCTGGAATGCCAGACTTTGAACCAAATATTGCTAACAGAGGCTTGTGATCTGTGAGGAGCGTGAATCTCCGACCGTACAGAAACTTATGGAAACGGCGAACAGCAAACACAAGGGCAAGAGCTTCTTTCTCTATCTGGCTATACTTCTTTTATGCTGGGGTCAGTGTACGGGATGCATGCATAACGGCTTTTTCTGACGCGTCTGGAAACTGATGTGAAATAACAACACCTAGGCCGTATGCTGAAGCGTCTGCTGCTACGATGATCGGCATGGATGGGTCGTAGTGTGTTAATAACAATTCCGAGCTAATTATAGACTTGAGTTTACCAAAAGCCGCGTCACACTCTTTAGTCCAGTTCCATGTGCTATGCTTCTGCAGTAGACAATTCAATGGAGCGCGAATATCATGCATCGAGGGTATCTAACATCCCCAACAAAATGTTTCTGGAAATCATGAACCTCTCGCTTCACATGCAATGATCATGTTTTATTTACTGACTTTATTGAACTAAAGATAGATAGAAAATCCCTATGTTATATATACCCTGAAAGAGAAAGGAAACCAAAAGGCACCCTAAATCCTATCTTACTTTGTACATTGTTATGTAGATAAGAAAACATGGACTAGATAAAAGAGTACTGAATTCCGTACAAGTACTGGAGAAGACATTGACATGTTAGTACCTTAGACTTAATAGTGTGTACATGGCTTTAATTTAAACGGTAGATAGGACTTATTTCTGATTCAACATACGTGACAATATGACTAATTTTGTTTAGTTTCAAAAGCTTGAAATGCTCCATTAATAAAACGTTCATTATTTCATTCTACCTTTTATGTTTAGTCTGATAAGTTTGCTTATGTAACCTGATAAGGATGTTTTTGAGGGAAAACTGTCAATTTTACTCACAGATATACTGAAAAGACACTTGTCAAAACTGTATCATTTTGAAAACAGAGATTATGTTCACACTATGGATACATGTGTAGAAATCTTTGTCTAACTACTTATATTACTAATAAATAGGTTAGAAATTTTTGCTATAATATTCTTTGTCAATGATGGATTATTTTTCATGAACGCTCTAATCACGTTGAATACTCAAACTGCCAATCACTAGTTAATCATTTACAATTAGATAATTTGTTGTGTAAGGTATTTTTCGTATTTATGTAAACAACTTTCTTCCGTAATGTGCGAAAATTTAGTTCAATTGTTCATGGTCGTTTCTTTCCAAATATCTCTGTTTAATCGAGAACTATGTGCATTCTAACATTTTTATCCTTACAGAGTGTTATTAGTTGTATGATAATTCGATAAGTAATATGTAATACATTGTTTATTTAATTAAATGACTATTGGTATTTCAATAATAATAATAATAACCATTTGAGGTTATACTACATCAAGCTTTCGATTATTAATATTTTCGAACTTGCGAATATTAAGTAGCAGGCTGTCAACATTAATCTATGCTTCAGTTAATATCGCCTTCAAAACGCAAATCGATTTTGTTATGGATGAAAACTTCTTTATATTGCCCATTTACATAACGAGTTTACACTTATTTGACCAATCATATACCTGACCGATAACAACGACTTTATGTATGAAAATTCTACGAAGCTAACACAGTCGGAAATGTTTTAAGAAATATTTAAATTAGATTTGTATTTCATACTATTTGCATAAAACGATAGAAAAAAAATTATAGTTTAGATTCAAATTGAAATTCCATTTTTTTTTAAAAAAATACAATTAAATATTAGCATACTTCAAAATAATGGGTACATGATTTCATCAACGAACTCCTGAATTTGAGTTCCATGTCGTCCAATTACTCATTACATATATATAAATATATAATATTATATTTGACAGTAGAATCACTTTGAATGGAAGCATATTAAGAAAATTCTGTAATTGTCTTATGAAAAATGAAAAATTTAAAATACGCATCTGATATTATAATACTTGAAATTGTAAATTTTAATTGTGTCGACACATGATAAAAAAGAAGAACATGCAAAAAATATCACAGGAAATCATTTTTCGTTTAGAAAAGATTGATCTTCATACATAAGTTTGATTGATCAGCTCCCTCCTTCTTTTTCCTCTTTCATACACAAACATTCTATCTAAACAATTGGCACAGTTTGTGAAGTTTTAACACGTGGTGTACGAGGTGTAAATGGAACTGCGCCAAGTTTTCGACCAATACACAATCGTGGACAAGCAATAGTCCATGCATACAATATCAAAGCTAACCAACTAGATGCTAATTTCATCCACATATTTGCCCATGATTCTGATAAAGTATCAACACGTGAAATTTGCGGACTAATTGTTGGTGAAAATAAAAATATTAAAGAAAAATAACATTGTTGATAACAATTTCAGTACAGTACAATTTGAATTACTTTCTACAATTCAAAAATCATAACTGAGAACTTGAAGAGCTCAGTGGTAAATTTTCAAAAAATGAAGCTGAGTGATACAGGTTTAAATCTCATAGGGAGTATTAGTACGCTTAAAGTTGATTATGCGTGTTAACTAGCGTGAAACCAAGGTCATGCAGGGTTCACTGCCGACTACCTCCAATAACATGAAATTTCATCACGGTGCACAAGATGTCAAGTCATCTAGTCTGAAGGTTATATTGCAAATCGATCGATAGAACTTGATTAGGACTAAGGGATTAGATAGATAAAATATTGGTCAACATTCAGTGATCAATCAATTGACTATAAGTGAATAATATAACCTGGCTGTCTTAAACAAAACAGACAGTGAAATTCAAATTCTACTACTTTAATCATTCAGATGATTGTTCTAACTGATACCAGTTGAAAATTACCGCTCATCACACAGAGTAACTTCGAATTCCGTTTATAGGATTATTCAGAAGCAATTTTGTGTAGTTTTTAAAAAATGATGAGTAATACAGGCATAGTTGAAGACATTAATCGATAAGAGAGTTCAGATGAAAATGAAGTTAAACATTTATATCACATTTTGAAGTCGAGTAATCATAAGTAGTCAGTAGAAGATAGTATATAATCACTATTCAGACTTCCTGTAATTTGTGTGAAAAAATCATCTACTTGAATTCAAATCCGACATTCTAGCTTAATTTTAAATCAATTTTTTGATTCAGAGCTTGCTTAATTTTCCTTGTTATTAATTACTCTATGAAGCGACAAATAACTTTACAGCATTTCATAAATTGAAAAAAGAAACAAACGTTGTTTGTCGTTAGTTTAATTTTATGTTGACATTGCTTAACACTATTTGTAGTATTAACTGTATAAAATTTGAACATTGAAACACGACGTGAAAATTGATCAACCGAAATTCAAATTATCCGCATTGAATTAAAATGGGTTGTACTACTTTACAGATTTAAGCAATCACATTCTCACTTATTAGAACATAAACGCAAAACAATCAACTTACTTGTACCAATTAGTTAACTGAGTCATTAGATATAGAGTAGCTAAAGCATAGATGAAATGAAACCATGGATATGAGTAAACTGATGCAATCGCTTCATTATACATTGTATAACCATCACGTGGTGCAGCAGTATTCAGCATAGTTCCAAGGAAACCTTGTAATATATATAACACACAAAAAAAATCAGTTAAGCAGAAATGCAGTAAAACAATAAGTGAGACGATCTGATTAGATTGTTTGTAATTATAATGCTGAAACACTCATTTATATTTGAACTAATCGTTCAAGTTATATTGTCCATAGTGATAATCCTAAGTTCACAACTAAATTATCTGACTAACGGAACACAATACCATCAAAATATCTACCAGACCTACAGATTTCTCCGAACTCTTCAAGATTCATAAAACTTTATTGCGTATCATTTAGTACAATGTACTTGGCTATGTGGATGAGAGTAGTGGTGCATTCAACTTATTAATTTAATTAAATTTCTAGTAAGTCGAGTTAGATCATCATTGAAATGAATATGTAATCATTTATTTGGTTAAGTACATGACAGTGAACCTTCGAGATGTAAGTTCAACCCACACACGATATCAATTTTGGATAGTTATATAGTACTACTAGTTTTAACATCAACAAGCTAACTCTAAACGAAATGAAAAAATCTTACGTTCATTACTAAATTATTTTGTAAACAAATTATAATCGGAGGCACAGTAGACTAAAAGAAAAGTAAATCATAATCTATACATTTACAAATTGTACAATATTTATGACAAATAAATGTGTGTGTACATAGTTCATTTAAAACAGAAAATAACATGTCAACTTTAATTTAAAAATTTTTATAATACATTTATGGAGATTGTTGAGTTCGATTGAAATAATGAATCGATCAATGTCAGACCAACCTGGATGAACTCTGGACGACTGTTTCGTCCTAGTATGGGAACCCTCAGTAACACACATCCACGACCTCTGCATATGAGAATCGAACCCAAGACCTTAGGTCTCGCGTCCGAGTGCTTATACTCTAGGCCACTAAGTCGGAATCCAACGGCGTTAACATCTAACCTTAATCAATGCCTGATATTGCGCAATCTCACTCATTGTCTTTGGTAGATAACTATTTACACCCGACAGTGTTGAACTCACCTGGTCAATGAAAAAAAAACAATCTCCATAACTATATTATGAAAAATCATAAAATATGCTCGCTAATGACTAGCTTTACGAGACAATTCTCATAGTTTTAGTGAGAAACCGTGATCTGTGGAGTTCAACCCTGTCAGATGTAGACAGTTAACCACTGATGATGAATGGATGAGGTTGGACAATATCAGGGATTAATAAAAGTTAGATATTAACACCGTTGGATTCCGGCTCGACTGTCTAGAGTTTAAGCGACCGCGTGCGAGACTGAAAATCCTCATTTCGGTTCCGGCGTGTAAGGGTCGTGGATGTGCACTTCTGAGGGGTCCTATACTAGGACGAAACAGCCGTCCAGTTTTTCTAGGTTTCTAATGGCGGTCCAACGTTGGTCGATTCATTAGATCAATTTGATTTAAAAGCCATAACAAAAAAAAAATAATACAAAATTATGAGTTTAATATACACTCATATTAATAATGCTCAGATCTACAATCAATGATAGTGGCAAGAAAACAAAATGAACTAATGAACTACTATTGATCACGTCTGAAAGGTAGTGTTTTCGAAATAAACATTCATGTTGACATAAGTTATAGTCATGAGAGTGAAATAGTATGATTCATAAGAATGTAATCAATAAACAGAAAATTTTCACCAATAAACAATGAATGAATTATATTTATTATTTATATTATTATTATTATTCAAAAACAAAAATTTATATCATAAACAACCAAATAAAAGATTGATTATATATATATGCTAGAATTTCTTAACTTGACCTAACAAATAAGATTTTTGTTAAAATAGGTTTTACATTTGACCACATAAATCAAAGTATAACGTACAAGGTTTATTGACTAACTATCAACCATGTTATTAGATTGGTTGATTTCAATTTCAAAACATACAACTTTATAAGAAATCATAAATGAATTTATGTAACAACACTTCCACTCGATATAACTTTTTACATTGTAAATGTTGTCTTATTTTTTCAATGTATTCAATAATAATAATAAGTTCTAGGCACATATTACTTTTTAATTAAAATTTGACAAATGTAGTTCAAATTGAAGAAAAAAGAAAAGTAGAAGATTTCAGTTTAAACATGTAATAGAATCCATTGATTAATACCGGTATAAAGGTGTGTATTATTTCATTGATATTCAAGATTGCATTTAACTATTTGTTGATGTTATGTGGTCTCTTTTAGCGAATTCCGCCGTATTTCTTAAAAATATAAGCTGGGTAGGATATTTCTCTTCATTAGAACTTTAAAAAGCGAAGTTTTGGACAGAACAACATCAATGCATTTGAGCGTCTATTTTCTTTGGAAGCAGCCTCATCAGTCCTGGAAGATTAGTGTCTGACAAGATCTCGGCATGAACTCAGAAAATGTTTTAGGTCTATGCATCACATGAGATAACTACCTGTCATTCAGTTCTAGTTAGTGGTTGTGAAATATGACTTTTATAAACAAAGGATACTTGTAGTTTCCTGATATTTAATCATAAATTCTTTTGAAGGATCGTCGAGTGAGTAATGCTAAGGTTAAGAGTAGGGTACAAAAAAAGATGGCAAACCAAATGGTAAATCAGTGAATCTTTATGGAATGAGGTGACTAAGACATGTATTATGTATGCCCAGCCACAAGCCTACTTCAGTAAGCAGTGTTGGATTATATAATAGTAGGCTGGAAAAAGCGACAAGCGATCAAACCAAAACCTGGTATCAGTTCATGAAGTCATTAATTGATGGAGTGAGTTGTACTTGTGAGTACAAACGACCTGATGGGGATCTGCGTGATTATCTTAATCAACAATTAGCGATGTTCATATTCAAAATCGGTCACAACAAAGCCTTAAAAGGTTCACATTCCACTATCAGCCAATGTCAAAAATACAAACAAGCTGCGATTTAATAAATGGAAATCAATCGCTTTAATCATATTTGGCTTTAACATTGGACTATCATTTAAAACTAAAACCAAAGTGAATTAAATGTCAACACAACAAAGCGAATAAATTTTATTTCAACCACTTCCATTTCTCATTTAAATTTTAAACAAAAGAAGCACTCTTTTGTTCACAAAAAATAAAATGGTTCTAATCACTGGGATTTTCACTTCGTTTTAATCCAAAAGACAAACAAATGGACAAATAAATTTTAAACAAAAGGAAAGAGTGTCAAAAAGAATACATTATAGTGAATTGATTAAATCATACTATAATCAGTTCAGTTTTCCGTGAATTCAATTAATTAGGACGTGTAGAAAGGATTTGATTGTGACCAATTTGGTCACGTGTTCTTTTATAGGTGTAAGGGCAGATGTTACTTCCTGGCTGCCCATACAGTGGAAGTGTTCTGGTTGTCAGAAGGGGCAACGGCCTCGTGACTTCCGAAGGAACTCGGCTTTCATCATGAGACGTCATAACTCTTCTAAATGAAGACCTTCTAACTCCAAGAGCAGAGTTTATATGGTTTGGATCATGTTTTCTTGTTAGCGTTATTTTAGCCAGTTATCATTTTGCGGGATGGGGTCGCGTACCCCAATCCCAACCCTCCTCCTGCATCTGGGCTTGGGATCGGCAGTAGCCCCGAAGGGTCTAGAAGCTTTGTTGACATTTTGTCGTTATTGATATCATTTCAGTAGAATTCCATATTTCTGTACACATTACAAGATATTACACTCTATAGTCGTTTTGTTTTTTTCGATGACCAACATGGTTTATATGCTAACATGATTGAAATGAGCAACACAATAAATATAATGCTATATATAACCTAGACTCATGTAGAGATCGATTCAAGATTATTCTTTATATAAATACATCAACAACTGAATAGATGGATAAACTCTATATAATGCATTTCATAGCTAATTACATAATAATCCATGAGAAACAAATTGAGTTGTGGATACGTTCGATGTTAATGAATTATGAAGAACATAATATTGATTGTACAGTGTATATCAGTCACTGAATCCTAACTCATCAGTATGAGATAAATTGGCTAGCAATTAGTAAAATATGGGAATTGACTTAATCAATAAATAATTCTCATTATATTATTTTAAAGAGAACAATCTTTAGGGAAATCTAGTTCGAAGAAGAATAAATTCAACATTGATTTTTTTTTCACTGCACATAGGCAATCAAATTAACATGATGCTGAAATAAATTGAATTTGATTTATCTACGTCAATAATAAACATCAGTTTAGTGTGAAAATATCTGTATTGCTTAAGGATATATCTGATTACAAATAGATTATCAAAAAATTAGAAAATCACTGAAAACAGTTGTTTCATTTCAATGCCTGAACTTTTGACACAATAAATCATTATTAATATTGTGTAAAGATAGTTACTTATATAACAAAATGGATAAAGTTTGAAATATAATCTGGTGAACAACGGATTATATAACCCAGTATTCTAACGTTCTGGAAGATGATTATAAAAGTCAAAAAAAGAAAACAAACTACGTGTTTGCTGTTGGATGATAATTAGGATGCACATTTACTGTGAATCTCTTCACATGGAAAAAAACAAGAATATATTATAGATATTCAGTGTTACCTGCTACGGTTTGATTCGACTTAGTTACTTTTTTCGTAATAAAACTTAGTTTTAAGCACTATTGCAAAAAAGCTAAACAAAATATATCTGAATAATACATTGAAACCTATAAATCATCAAATTGAAAATCATCACTTACGTAATGAATTAGCTAGTCCAGGTTCTACATTAAATAATCCACTGGTACGTTTATTCAATACAATTTCACTAGCCCATCTAGCTTGACGATATCTTAAATGATTAGGTGATGTCAGCACAGAATTTTCAACATCATCATCGTGAGTTGAATGCAGGTGGTGTTGTTGTTGTTGATTGGATGATGAATTTGTTGATAAATTTAATGGTTGTGGATTATATTTATTAGTTAACGGTGATCGTCTAACAACATTAGTTAACATTGGTATAGGATTATTTGTTGTTGGACTAACAGATAAGTAAATGTTTGGACCTGAATAAAAGAAGATCAAATATGATAATTGTCTATTCTTATAGTTGTGTCGAAATAAGTTGAAAAAAAAATTCCACACTTCTGTAAGAAGTAAGAGTAATACAACTGAATAATAAAAACAAACGGAATATTTGTAGTAATCGAAAACTGTATAAACGTAGGAAGCTCTGGGTCATATATACACTATGTGGATGGAGCAGTGGCTTAGTGTCTAAAGTAACCTCATTTCAACCAGTTGACTATCAATTGAAACCGAGCTACATAAATATCTGTTAGGAGAGGTGAGTAGTTTTAGTAGCTCTAACAGAACCACAGTGTATCGAAGTCCAGTACATGAATTTATTTATTGCAAACGGGTTACTAATGTGCCCCATGTGAAGGTGAGTCGTGCTTTTCTAGCGACTGTAAATAGACATACCCTAATACATCACATACATAATAGATTAATTTCCATAATAGATAGTTTCGTCACTGGTTCCCACTGTACATTATGATAGCTAACTTGGTTGTGCCTGGTTCTTGACTAAACGATGGCTATGAAGCCTGAAGGTCCTAGGTTTGATTCCTGATCGAGTTGTAGATGTCCACTACAGAGGAGTCCCATAATAGAAACAAACAGTTATCTAGTGCTTCTTGATTCTCAATGGTTATCTAACTAGGTCAAGTTCGCGATGCAAAACTACAAAATTAAAATATTTTGACAACTCCTACACCAAATAAACGTCTAGTCAATACAAATTATATATACATACATATATATTCTGTTAGAAGTTTACAAGTCACGAAGAACTAGTTACTAGCTTACAACAAATAAACATATCATCACATATCATCAATGTTATGACGAGTTTTGAAAGTCACTTGTAATTGGTGAAACTGTCATTCCAAAGCAACGTAAATATCGGGAACACAGTATATGCACATACAAAATAAAGTGAAATGAAAGTATCTTACTGATTGAAAACCATGTGTAAGGAGTAGTTCACATATTTCGATTTCACTAATGGCTATTTGAATAAGAAATCTATTACACTGGTTATAACTGTGTTTTTTATAAAAATAAACACCTGAATAAGTCTTTGATTTACATGTTATCAAATAACTGATTATCGGTACAAAATTTAGTTATCTCGACTGAGAATATTCAGTGACAGATAAATGCAACAGCAGTTTCTGCTAGTTGACAAAATGTATAGACTAAGACTACAGTTGTTTTATTTTCGTGTTAACAATGATTTAAAAGAGACAGATGAAATTATCCAATCACTTGCAACAGATCACTTTAAATATATCACTTATGTATCATCATAATGTGAACCTCCTAAACAGTGAATTACGCACAACGCTAAAGACAATATCAAACTCAAGAATTTAAAGTCCCATTCAGAGTATCACTTCATTTAGCGCCATCCTCACACAAATGTTATCGACGAGCTACTATTTATGGTGATTCAACCTACTTCCCACCAGAATTCTTCAGTAAATAACTCAAAATTAAAATATTTAGGAAGTAAGCAAATACGAGGCTTGATTGGCAGCTTATGCTTACTATATTTACCCTTAAAAAATCTATTCACATTTCATGATCTTGTTCTACTGAAGAATGAATCTTATCAGTGATAAATTGTTTGGTATTGAGAAAAGTCTTGACAAAAATGAAATCTAAGTAGAGAAAAAAAACCTGTCTAAAAGTCTACACGCATTCATATATACACCGCAATGAATACAAATAAACCCAGCCACTTACCAACTTTTTCAGGGAGACTATCTGCACTAAATAAATATAATTCTTTAACAATTCGTTTTTCACGTGAATTCAAACGACATGTATCACGCCAGGTTTTTTGAAGTTTTTTCTTAAAATGAAGTTTCGGAGGTTTAATTTCATTCAATGCTGCATTGTCGTTATGTTCAGTTTCATTAAAAGTTAACAAATTATAAATACCATGTCTATCATTATTCTGATAGTCATTAGTTGATTTCAATTGACTTTTAGATCGTTTAAGTTTTTTGTGCCGTAAATAACCAATTCGACGATTCAATGAAGTTAATGAATGCTCTCGAGATCGTTTAACTGGTTTATGCTTTGATGATTTTTTATTTTTTATACCATCATCATCATTATTGTTTAGGGACCAGTCTAAATCTCGAATATCACCACGTTGACGTGAATAATTTCGCATAGTAATTGTTAAATCCGGTTCAGACGATGCTACACGTAAAGTAGATTTACCAGTAGTTACAGTAGTATTAGTAGTAGTAGCATTATGATTCTTGTTTGTACCATCATGATTACAAGATGAAGATGACTTGTCCTTTGTATTCGGTACATTGCCTTAAATTTAAATAAAAACCGATCAAAATTTGAAAATAAGTTTGTATAAAAATTTAACTAAGCTCGTTTTATATCAATTAACCGTTTGTACAAGGCCAAGAAAATTCTTCTGGTAATCATAGAATAAAAATCACAATGTTAAACATGTTCACTTTCTTTTATACGCAGATTTTAGTGTAATTCACATGTAGTCAACTCTCAAAGGTTCATCACAATCATTTTTTTGAAACTGCTCATTTTGGCAAGTAAAATACTGAATAATTAGCTGGTTTATTACTTACAAAATCTTGTTGAAAAGTTCAAATTTATCTAATTTAGTATCCACAATGAAATCTATACACTACAGTTGATCACTTCAAAACTACAATAGACTTTAACATTTACAATAGTGAAAGAAAGAAATTCATGATGAATTATTCTTATTTTATTTCTCTTGAAAACAATTGTTATCCCTAAATTCCCAGTCTTCATAATCTTATACTTATTTGTTTTACAAGTGTTATTTGATTATGACCAATATTGTTATTGTACTTCTTAGGTATTTCAGATTGAACATTCAATTTTTTTTAATAAGCTCATATGAAATATATCACCATTGAACTAAACCATACATATTGATGACCATTCATTAACCATCTGTTTGATTAATGATGAATATAAAATCAAATTTTTTTTTTTAATTACTGAAAACAATTGGATTTTTAAAATGTCCATAACATTGAAGTGTCAACACAGTGGAAGATAAGAAAAGTGCTTATATAAATTCCTAAAGAAAACAATTATAAACCTAATGCGAGTAGAAGCAGTTACATACTTTGCTTCGGTAAAAAATTCAATTAAATAATTTTATAATGATGTTCAAAATAATGATAAGCGAGTAGTCAAGATTACTAAAATGTTTAGCAATGGCTAAGGGCGTTATAAGAACTACTCAATTGGATTTCAGTTAGTTGGCTTAGAATATAATACATTTGTTTACACTAACTTTTATAATATAGAATGAAGATTAGTTGAATTCTGTGAAAATGTTTAGAGTCGTTTGCATCTTTTTTTCTATTAGGAACACTACCAAACCACAAAAAGCAATTAACCGTTTACAAATTACACTTTTATGACTGACTCTTGCAACTCAGTGTTAAGTATATATATCGGCGTCATCAACTAAACAACTAAAACACAGATTCGTACACCAAATTCTGTACCATATACGTATTCTGATAGAGATAAAAAGACGTCTACGCTTATTGAAACCAAAGTAAGTTTAAAAATGGTTCTAACCCCCAGCTAATAAATGAAAGCTGATTGTTCAGTTAATCAATGAGTCTGGTAGTTCAGTTTGACGAGGCTTTCAGTTGAAACATGAACATAAATTCATTGATAATATTTTGTCATATGTACGTATTAAAGAACAGAAAATAATTACTAAATAAAACTACAATAAATCAATATACTAATTTATTTAAAACGCTAAGACTTACAATTGCCTAAACTATTCCCTATATTCTGAGATATTATATCGGTTGTATTATGTGCTTGTAAGTTTAATGAAGGTTGACGTGCTGAAGGTCTACGAAAAACCTTTGGATTAGGTAAATCAGCCACAGCGTCAGCAAGTAGATTTAATGCTGTCAAAAATAAAGACAGACATAAAAATTATAAGCAGCTACCATATATAACAACTAACAAAGCTTTTATAAAAAAAAATTTAATTTAGACAATAAAACTAATCTGGTCGAATAAATAAAATTTTTGAAAAAAAAAACAAATTAATTTAATTTAATTCAAGTCAAAAATAGATAACTCTTAAATTTCAGCTATTGAAACATTGAACAATAATGGTTACGATCAGTTTTAAATCAACAAATGAGTTTTTGGTTATTTCACAGACAAAGAATAGGAAAAAATGACTTCATTTAATTTCTTTATACACACTTCTTTACAATTCACGTGCTTATTAATTCAACCTGTATTTCAATATACATCCACTATATGGAATAAATTCAATTTAAAACAGATGAATTTTTCAAGATAAAATATACACACAAACACATAATAACAAAAGGAAAATTGACGAATGAACATATAAGGTAAAAAAACAGAAACAAACTTTTAAAAAATAATAGACAAGCGTAAAATAAAAACAAAAAACTTTAAAATATTTTGTAGATTTACACTGATAAACAGAAGAACAAGTTCATTCATCAAAACGTAACAAAACATCAAAACTGTAACTGTGAATAAAGTATATCTTATCGGAAAAGATTCTAGTTAGCATGATATATATAAAAGTGACCATGCTGAGAGATAAGATGAAAAATGCTTTCTTTTTTATTTCCTACATTTAATAAAATGTATATAGTATGACAGAGATAAAATTCAAAGCTATTTATTATTTAGAATATCTGTTCTTTCTTTTATCCTGAATTTCTTTTCATGCATTATGCTGGAATGAAACTGTCAAAGAAATAGACACTGATAATCTAATCTATAGTAAGAACAATAAACTCTATGAGATGAAGTGAGTTTATTTCATTATTTTGTGTTTTTTCAAATCTTTCAAATAAGCATTGATCAGCGTAAAATTAATAAATGAAATGTTTTACAAGTGTAATTTTTGTGTGTAACATGTATAAAATCATTTAGTTCACTAATGAAAAGTAGTTGTAAGTGTCATTAAGGAGTTGTGGCGACCGTTACATGGACTGATCTCATTTGGATCACTATTGAAAACCTAGAAGCATTAGATGGCCATTTTATTCTAATAGGAAACTCTTCGAAAATGCCCATCCACGACGCTAAACCCACGGACCAAATCCAAAACCTCTGACCTCTAGTATGACACCTTAGAAATAATGTTAATAAACGACTATTTCAAATCATATTTGGTCTTCAATCGTCGATCGGAAAGGTGTATTTGTGTGTGATCTAATTTGGCAGTCTAATCAAACAATCTGACGAGTTATTTGGTATTGTGATCTAGTGTATACCCATTCTATTATCTAGTATATTAAGTCTTACTTTGTATTTCCAAGTAAGTCAATGCAAACACCAGTTATTTCAACGTCATATCATAAAGTCGACATCCAGCCCAGTACTCAAAAATCACACAGTACAGATTTTGATTAAACAAATTAGTTAAAATGCATAGATATTAACTGATAAAGCTACAGCTGTAAAACCCTTGGAGAATGAGAAATAGGTCTGTGTTTTAGGTCTCAAGAAAGTATTTGGCAAATCGTATCACAAAGTGAAGAAAAAAACAACAATTTCTGTTGAAATTATTAGAATAGGAACAGGTCTGTAATTATCGAGAATACTCCTGTTAGTTTCTAGAACAAAATTTAAATATTACATAGGTAACAAATTCGAAACTTTAAGATATCAACTTCTTTTTTTTGTTTATCAGATTGTCGTAATCACAAGTTTTTGTGTTATTTCTGATTGTTATCTATTATTTTCATTGCACATTCTGTTTTTACTGAGTTGTCGGCCCGCTTATTTTCTTATTCTTTACTTTTCCAGATTTTTTCACATAATGCCCCTTGCACTCTACCAACACACGAAGTAACTTCAGCCTAGATGCAAACCTACCTTAAAGTCTAAACGTTAAACGTATGACGAGTAGTAGAAATACTTTCTTGTGCGGCTTAGTGTTTAACTTGATCACAACAAATTACTTTTTGACACTATAAGAGTACTAATGATAGTATTGAATGTATTAAGCGCTCAACTCTGTCACTGTAGATTCTATACAGCAGGCAAATCGATATTATCCCTAAATCCTTAATTCTGAATCGAATCCTAACCTGATGGCACTGTCCTTTATGGATCAAATAATCAAATGGAACCTCTTGTTTGTTGCCTACTTAGCCACAGAGCGTCTCCACATTGTATTCGATGTCATTTTTTGATGAAAATTTCTAACCCTTACTCAAAACACATAAACCTAACCAAGAACAATATGAGGACTTTGCATATTCTACTTGAATCCTTTTACAGATTGAGAAATGAGATGTTATGGTGTTTTCCAATTTATTTGAGCATTAACCTGTAAAATACTTTAAGTGGTTCACGAAATATGCAAAATCTATTCACAGTTTCTAATATTATTGTTTTCCTTTCCATAAACAACCCGTTTTCACTGACTGTTTTCTAATTATCTAAGAATTGATCTAAATACTATACACCGTCGACTGTTTTCTAATGTAAATGAAATATTACAAGAAGATTATTAACAAAACCATTCACCAATCGATTAACTAATGAAAATCTATCACCAATCAATTTAAAACTCCTAAACACTTATTCCAGTGTAATCAACTAAAATATACATTTCATCAATAATAATAAAAAAAATTTTTTATTACAGTGTCCATAATGTTCATCATATTGTAAACATTATTTACATGATTCAAAAGTGGAATTAATTAGAATGATCTATTTTTAGTATGTTTCACGACCGATTGTAAGTTTGAATTTACGTATAAATATATATATGATCATCGTAGGTATTGGAAATAAAACTAACAATTAAAATTTCGAAATATATTTTTTTTAAACAAAAAAAAAAACATAAAAATTAGTGCGCCATAAATTTTCATCATTAAAAATGAAACGAATACATTCATTTTATCAATTTTCCGGAAATCAAAACTACCATTGAATTTCAATCATTCATTATTCAAATTAGTTTTATGCAAGTGAACAGAATGGATTTACAAATCTCAAGTAGGAAGAATAATAATCATTCCAAATAATTTGATTGGCAAACGACGTGTCTTGTATTACAAGAGGCTAGTAATGGTATTTGAACGTGTAATGTTATAACATCATATGACAATCAACTGGAAAACTATTATTTAAGATACATCTTCCAACGGTGTATAATCGTAAAAAGCAGCTACAACAACAGTCTATTTTGCGATACCCGACCTAACTAGATGAGTTAGTGTTGGCTAAATATCGACATTAGATAGCATGATACTCTGATTTTGAACTATATAAACGGGAATATACGTAAACTTGTACATACTCGTTAATGTTAGCATACATGCGTAAAGGTTAGGCGAATTATCAAAGGTTGTAGAAACTACTAAGTTTGATTGAGATAATAAACTTAGAAGCATTGGGCAACTGTTCTTTCAGAATTATGCACTCACAATCTTACTAACAGACAATCGAACCTAGAATATTCGGTGTTGATTGCGCACGCTTAATCTCTACAGGTTAAGGAATAAAATAAAACTTTGCCAAAATGATAAATTTTAAAGATTAGTTAGTTTATCTATGAATAGGCCTTTGTATGTGTTATGGTACTATTATAAAACATTGTCACTATTACAATTCAACAAACACTTTAAGAATCTGATTGTCTATAGGTGACTTTTACATATGAATGAACTAGACTAAATTTCGTTAAATATGATCAATTGAAATATTTGAATAAAATCATAACAAGACAAGTTAATATGATCAGACAGGTTATAACGATCGAAGAAATGACAACATAACACAAAATAAACAGTTAAAAAAATTCTTGATTATATTACAAGGCAAACATACAAACAAAATATTGACCGAAAAATTTCAACTGAGATTAGAAAATCAGTTAGAAACATTTAGTCACAATACCTTAGGTCTATGTGATAATCTGAATGATACTGAAACAATTTTCAGCCTAAACACATGACTCGGACAAATTCTAAAAACGTACATTTTGAGGCAAAAGTACTGAACGAAATCATCAGTAGTTTAGGCCAACAAATACAATTGGTTGGTTAGTATGAACTACTACTACTTATACGCATAAGCATTAATATCTTTACTGTTTAGCTTATACGCTAAAGAATATATGAAAAAAAATACTTAGTATTATTCAAACCATACATATTAATGTACCGGTTGAACCAAATATGTAATGGCTAACATAAACCAAAGTAGAAAACAAGCGATCTCATTACAGACCACAATAACTGAAAGCTTGCTAATTAGAAAACTGAACTAGAAATTCACACAGAAATTTATTTTGTTATTGCAAAGACATAAATAACAAAAACAATTTTATTTTCACATATACAACTACTTGAACAATGATCGAAGTGAGATAAAACTTGAAACGGTAATCAGCATTGTTTCTAAAAGTACTAACTGTAGATAAACATTTACCAACAGCTGAATAGTATAAATTGGAGCTTTACAATAAGTGAATCGTATCTTGCAGGGGAGTGCAAGATGAAAGTTTTGTCCTGTTCAAGACTCGTCAACTGGGTATACCTAAATCTAAGTGTTAATAATCACGTTAGGACTTAAATCAACTAACCAATCAAAAAGAAGTTAAATTCATAATTTGTAAAAGTTTTATTATGTCAATGACATGTTGTAAAATTTATTTTTAAATGTTTTGCACACAAAAAAACTAATTATGATCAATTAACTTACCACGTTCTTGTCGTTTTACATCCTTATAATTCATAAGACATATTGGAGATTGATTCAAATTATCGGTTGTAGATGGATTAGAATGTTGGTTTGGTTTGTTATGATTGAAAGTTGGGGATTTATTAAATTGACTATTTCCATGAATATGAGGTAGGAGGGTTTTCTGTGATAAGAGAAAAATATTCAAGTATTATGTAAATAATCTTAATTTATTTTGATGAACTCTGATGAAATGTGTATATCTAAGTCAAATATAACGAATTGTGACATATATGCGAAATAAAAACAGATGTAAACAAAGAAAACTTCTGTCATAAATAATACATCATATAATCTGTTAAAGATCCTCAGTATTTAAGTTTAACAACTAAAAAATCTTCTTTTGGCGTAGGCAAGATATCTGTCTGCTAACCAAAAGACGAGTCTACTGCGCAGTAGTTCGCTCCATTCTACTTTACGAGTGTATACTATGTAATATTAAGAAGAGAGGATATGCATAGGTTACTATTTCTCCATAATCAGTGTCTCAGATGTATTGCTCGTGCATCTTGGTACCATGGAGTAAGCAATGCTAAGGTTAGAAGAAAGGCACTAGATAAAGACGGCAAATCAATTCAGTTTTGTTGGTTGGGCATATGTAACACATGTCCCAACCACCAATTACCTCAACGGCCTATGTTGCCTAGGAGTAGACTGGAAGAAAATTAGGATCGGCCAAACCAAAACATCGTACCGCTCACTGAAACCATTAACATTTGGACTGAGCCATGTTAAGATGTATAGACTACTTGACTGAGATCCGGGTGACAATCGTAACCGGTGGTTAGAGACTTTGAATGACATGGATCAAAATCGCTTGCAATGACATAGGTGCATCCATTCTTTGTCTTCTATCAAATTCTAATCTCAATTCCTTATCACTTTTATCTTTCTCATTCTAATGTTATCTCACTGAACTATACTTCTTGAATAATTTCTTAGAACCCTAATCTTTTCGATTACCGCTAATACTGCAACTACCTCT